GGCCGGCATGGTGTCGAAGGACCAGAATACATTTCAGTACAAAACAAAAAATAAGCTAAAAATATATATCTTCGAGCCTCAACGTACTTTGTGATAGAAATGTCATATGGCCGGCCGCGACAAGACAAGACACGACACACCGGGTTAAGTCGGAAACACCTAATAACGGATCCATCCCTCTGTTTCCTGTCTCTGAGATCCCGTCTTAATTAAGTTCCCTTTACGGTTTGCACCTTTGTTTACTCCATATTCCAGTGACGTAGCAACAGGGGGCGGCATGTGCCCCCACTGGAAAATGGAAAGGCGTCAAATATATATTTTTAACTGAAGAAAAGGCGAGAAAGAAGAGACAGGGAAAAGGGGTAGGGGGAAATGACGAGAAAAGAAGACGCATGGCCCCCTCCCGCACCCTCCCCTTGTCAGTTGTATTGTGGAATCGCATTTCATTTTCTGAGTAAGACCGCCACATCGTTCCCGTGCCCCCCCCCCCCCCCCCCCCCGGTGGGTGAAGTCGCGCTTCGCCTCTTGCAATATTGTATTTGGATCTGCGATTTCTCCGCGAGTGTGTGCCCAGCCGGTGGGCAAGAACAAATAGGAAAGTGGCGGTTCCTAATTAAAGATGGGCTCAATAAGTTATCGGGTGCTTCCTTTTCGGAAAACTGAACCTGATTGTTACTGTTGATAGGTGTGTAAGGTCTGTTTTGACCATTGCAGTTCATTGACCTCTGGCAGGACAGACAACAAAAACCGAGTCATTCATCACTTGTCGACTTTCACCGTCTCGCCAAAACCTATTATGCAATGGATGAGGAGGTGGTCAGTTAATATTTAATGGACAAACAGTAAACAATACAAACATGACGCCCTTCGAGAAATTATAGACAGAGAAGTTTTCTAAATAATTATTACCCCCAAAAAGAGTCATAGATAATGATCGTTGAGTTATAGCTAGGCCTATATAAACAACTTTGCCCATGCCAATCAAATACTTGAGTCGTTGAACATTACTGTGACACATCTTGTATTATATGAAAAGTAACACTTTCAATCATTTGCTTTACCCCTTTCCCCCTCGCTCTCTCTTTCTCTCTCATTCTTCTCCCTTTTCTGTTTTCTACTCCCCCTCCCACTTCCTATCCGCTTTACATGAACAGCGCCACCTGACCCCGGTTCGTCTAAATGTGGTAAGTACATTGACCTTTATAAATAGAATGTGGTTATCGACAAGGTACCACAACATTTGGAGGATTAATCCTTAAAGATCATGTTGGTATATAGAATATAACTATTGTGATTAATGGAAGATTGCCTGTGTTTAGCCGAATTAATGTACAAACGATACAATGACTAAATACGGTTATGAACGAATGAATGAATGAATAAATGAATAAATAAATATATATATGTATACATGAATATATAGATAAATTAATGAATAAATGAATAAATAAAAAAATGAGAAGATATATATTTATGTATACATACATGTACATGTACGTGAATAGATAGATAAACAAATAAATTAATGAATTAAATGAATAAATTAACAAATCTTCATTCTTTGGGTTTAGAACCGTATAAATTACATGCATATTCTCAATTCTTAAAGAAAGAAAGAAAGAAAGAAACGCATCACACAGTTTATGGCCGTTTGCGGTCTTTTATTTAGGACAATAGGTGCAAGAATACCAAAGGTCTTATCGAGAACCTTAGTGTTAACCCCGGGTGTTAAAACGTTCTCATTATTTGGGAAGCGAGGGGCGCCCCCACACGGGGATCACAAAATCCGTAGGATTATGCATACACAGCCAACTACATAATGGGGGGGGACAATCTCCCTAAATCCATTTAGAGTCTGAAACGGATTTACTATACCCAGAACTAGTGTATCCAGCTTAGAGGGACGCTCCGGAAAAAAAGTACAAAAAGAAAGTTGCAAATAAGGCCAATGAACCAGATAAAATTGGTCCGCATAATCGGAACTATACCCATATACGTTAAGCCCCCTCCCCCCTCTGTATTCATTTCCTGGATACGCCACTGTACCATAGTGATCCGACTTACACTATTCAATCTACTAAGGGTACTGTTTCCGAAAAAGCTTGAATAGTTATTGCCCTGTCATTATTCTGCAATTTTTTTTTTTTTTTTTTTTTTTTGCGGGTGCCACCACTCGATAGCATACTTTTTATCTATTAATAAATATGAAATCTAATAATATTCCTTCGTGTATCAGGATCTACCTCTCTTAAATTCAGTTCCAGAAAATATTTATTTCACTCTCTTCTCTCAGCTCTTCCAACGGCGCCACCGGCAACGTTCCAGCCATTCAACACAGACAGTAGCTTCTTCACTACCGGATCTTTCTTCGGGCCTGGGCAGACTGGCATGACCACCGTAGATGGCGGTGTGACACAGAGAAATGGCCGCAAACGTCCTACTATCACCGAAGTACCGTGTGTGGATAAGAAATGCAAGAACGGCATTGTGAGAGGAACAGACTGCAGCTGTGCGTGTATAGTCGGTTACGAGGGCGGTGAATGCCAGTGTAAGTTTGTTTTCAAAATATAAAAACATGAGATATAATATTTTCATGTTTGGTACCAATCAATAAAAAGGTACAGGCAATCATCACACAATCACTATATTGTCTGTATATATACTAGTATACCTATAATTTTTTTAGCTCACTTTCTGCCAAACAATCAGCATTACTGAATTTAATTGAGCAATGAATGAATTTAAATCAAATGAAGCATTTTTTTTGTTCCACATTAATTATACATCCTGATATCATGATTCTACGCTTAGCAAAACTTAAATCGGTTGCATCAACCTGCCTTTTTTCACATTCTTTCTTCTATATCATAATTACTTCCACAGACGTGACGACGGAGCTCGATCATGGAGTTATATTTTATTTGGAAGGAAACATTAAACAGGTTTGTTTTCTTGATATCACTGACATTAACAAATCACTGTAAATTTTAAAGTATGTTATGGAGCAATGATTATATTTCTCATTATTGAAATTTTACATCCATAATTTCTTGTACCTGGTGCACGGGAACTAAACACAAAATAGTACCGTATTTTTTGTCAATCATTCTTTTTGTCGATTTTCAATATAGTATGCATGTTATGTTGATGTTATGTACGTGTACGTGGAATTTGTATTGTGTATTTTTACGAAAATTACATGTATATACAAAAAGATGCGTTTACCGAAAAGATGTCTTCCAATTCACGAACGTCTCTTCTGTTTATTCAAGATTTGTTCTCCATCAACGCGTTTTGTTAATCTCTTCGATTTACAATGTTGTTCTTTTTCAGTGGCCGACGAGTAAGTCTGTCTTGAAGGCTATTACAGCTATGGCTGTTAATTCATATTGTTCTCAGTATCCGAATGAATGTTGTCTCAAATCTTCAAATTTACTCCTAAACAGGTAGGTAGTCAAAACAACATTAAAGCATTGGTTATAATTTTACGACGATTTGGTTGTATTTATTATTTCAATATGTTGTTTTTGCGCATCTTTACCTTACGCTTTTGTCCCTAAAATGAATGTTACATCATACATTATATGTATAACATTATTATTTTCATTTAAGATTATTGAAGAGTCAGGTTTTGATCATTATACACGGTTCTTGCTCGATGCGCATGTCTCCAATAGCTAAAACATTATTTTCATTTATATCCCTGAACTCGAGTGTAGTAAATACGTACTTCGTATAGGATTACTCTTTGTGATGCACTATTGCAAATATCATCTCTGTTTTACGTTTTAATAAAACTTTTTAGTGGTTGTATAATAATTACAACTTCACAGCCTGTCAAGTCTTTGCCAAATTCGTACATTACAGCAGGGTTAATCTAGATGAGGGGGAAGGGGTGGTCTTAATGAAATCCATTTGGTATCCTTATTTGGCGTAGCGCAAATCGCCGGTAGTGGCGCCCCCCCCCCCCCCCGCCCCCTCCATCCTAAAGAAGGAAAACGCCCTGATGCATTATCGTTTGCCTTCGTGTGTTATTGATTTTCTGTATATAATATCATTTTTAATATAAATATCTTGCCTCTTTCCTTCCTCGTTTTGAATTCTTTAAACTGTAGAACTAAGGTACCGGCTTACATCAATGGTAGCCATGTAAGCGCTGCTATAGGATTCCCAGTCCAGATCAAGGAGAATGAATTCAAGGTGGACATGTTGGTTCACCCGCCGCCTCAATCGCCTCTCTGTAAAGGTAAGAGAAAACAACAAGGGGTCTGGGCATCCATAAGGATTTTCAAATAGGACTAGGGCTAAGGGGTGTCGGATTTTTTTTCCGAAACTGTTCTAATTATAGACGAAAGAATTGGCAACAAGAAAGAAAAGAGTTTAACAGAATATGTTCACACTTGCGATGAGAGAAATTCCAACAGTTAAGTAAAAAAGAATATTAAAAAAGTAATGGTGTTAACCGGATACTGCAATATCTACTGTATATATTTTGTCAATCGCCTATAACAGGAAATTGTTGTACGTGAAATGTCATACATGAAAAACATCCAACAATTTGAGCAGGACATTTTTGATGAATAGTAAAAAATAAAAAAAATAAAGAAATAAAAAATAAACCAAATAAAAAATAAAAATAAATAAATTAATTAATTAATTAATTAATTAAAAATTAAAAAAAGGAACAATCAGATATTGATGACGAACCAGTTGTTTTTACTCTTCCGCATTATATAAACACTCCTTTATCACAATAATCTTTCAAGATGGCGGCTATCTAACACAGAAACTGCTCCTCGCCTCGCTCGGTTACCAGTTCGACAGCATCCGCGCCTCCCTGAGCGTCACCACCAACTTCACCCTCTACGCGCTCGAAGGGCGGGAGATTCAAGAAAGTACTAACCCGGCAGGCGATCCCTTCGCGCCCGGTGAAGGCGGGAAGGAAGGGGCCGAAAAAACGCTCACCATCGTGCTTTCCACCGTAGCCGCTGTCACTTCTATTTTCGCCATCACCATAGTCATCATGGCAATCCATAAATGGTGAGTACTACAGTTAGCATGTTTATTTTAATTATTGTAAGCTATTCTGTAACATTTGATGTTATTTTTCCTTCAGTATTATATGTCTTCTTGGGTCAAGCTCGCTATCCGTAAGGACCGCTATTCATAAGGACGATTATTCATAAGGACCGCTATCCATAACGCGAGACAAAATGAATAGCGGTCTTTTCTAAATAGCGGTCCTTATAAATAGCAAGCAGGCCCCATCTTCTTGTGCAATACAAAAGTTACCGGACGATTCTCCGCTGCAAGATGGCGTCTCACAAAAAAAGAAACAGGACAGGATTATTGAGTTCATTGACAAATATTAAATCCCTACAAATGGAAAGAAAGAATAAGATCTGTTGTGCGATTGCTTATGAAAATAGTTGTAACTTTAAAGAGCTTCATCGTGTTAGAAAGACCATAAATTTATAAATATTATAGAGGCCTCTTTTTAAAGGTGAAAACAGTAATATGTGACTGGCTCTGGTAAAATCAGACTCTTATCACCTAAAAGAAAAATTGAGATAATGGCATTTTCTGATCGAGTATAGTCCTCTTTAATTTGATACCAAACATGTGCAGATTAAAACAATACGTGACGAAGATGTGGCTAAGTAGGCTATAGTGCCGAAAAGTAAGGTTCCGTAATCATCGTAAAACTGAGTCGTTTTATAACTCACCCAGCGCCCGCAAGAGGGGGTATCCGCCTATGAACGGAAAAAAATTAAGCGGATGAATTTATTTCTCAAAGACAGGTTATGTTTAGGTCCCGACATAATGTCTCATTGATTAATTACTAGTTTTACAATCTATCATTCTCATTATTTGATTTCGAGTAAATAATGGAATCGATATCAATCTCTACCTACCCAGTTTTCAACACATTTCCTACCGATATCGACGACGTCAGAGACCGGAGAAAAAATTGAGAAGTGTGAGCAAAAATTGTGTTCGGCAATTATTAATGACACATTACAATGACACATTATGTTCCAATTAACGGCTAATATGCACTAAATCCATCGTCACGGCAACGCAAATCTTGTATTTAATCGACCAGATATAAATTATGTTATGGCTGTTTTACAGAACCCCTTTCTAAAAATGATTTACAGGCACATTATGCATTATTTATTCACGGCGGACTTGTAGTTTCTTGCTTTTTCTTTAAAATAAAGGGAACATACACAATTTAATGTGTCATTGGAATAATAAGAGTGTAAAACAATCACCGCACACATTTAAACAAAATCTTTAATAATGAAGTAGAGGGAAAATATTCTTTTCTTATCAAATGCACATAATGAAGAAATATTATGATTGGAGAAAAACGTGACAAACATTATTTGCAATTGGTAAATGTCATTATACTGCGTAATCAATACTATATTTATGGTACAATCGCTGTATTTCACTCGAGACTACACACTACGACATGTAGTTTTACTACTTCTACTACTGCTACGAATACTACTAATTCTACTTCTACTACTACTACTGCTACTACTACTACTACTACTACTACTACTACTACTACTACTACTATTACTGCTACGAATACTACTAATTCTACTACTACTACTACTACTACTGCTACTACTACTGCTACTACTACTACTACTACTACTACCACTACTACTACTACTACTACTACTACTACTACTACTACTACTACTACTACTGCTACTACTCCTACTACTACTACTACTACTACTACTACTAGTACTACTACTACTACTACTACTACTACTACTACGAATACTACTACTACTACTACTACTAGTATAACTACTACTACTACTAGTAGTATAACTACTACTACTACTACTACTACTACTACTACTACTACTTCTGCTATCAATAATACTAATAATACGACTACTTTTACTATTAGATACTACTTCTTCTTTTCTCTCTATTACTTCTATACCTCGATCTATTTCTTCTACTACTACTCCTACTACTACTACTACTACTACTACTACTGCTACGGCGACGATGACAATTACTATTACTACTACCACTATTAGAATATCCATTATAATTTGGACACAGTGTAATTTCAGCATTCTTTTTTATATCTTTTGCTGAATAAATTACGATTCTCATTTTTGCTCTAATAGTAATGTTCTATTTCAATTGCACGCTTTTCAGTCATGTGATCTCACGCAATATAGACGAGAATACATACATTGTACAGTACTGATCTTTCTCCATTGAATGATGCACATTATAATAGTACATTCTCCTATATTATTGTTAGCCCAGTTCTGTAAATAGTTCTTTTGGTTCCTATACGATCATAAATTTAATTTTAAAAAATTGAATCAACATAATTATGGAAATCAGTCCAGTTGCTGTGCTTTTTTCCTTCTTCTTCAGTTTCTTCCTTTCTGATCTCTTTCACCCTTTTATAATTCTCGTCATAATGTGCTGTTTGTTATTTATGAGTGTTTTTAGTTCTAATTTGTATACTTTTATTTGCGCAAATCCTCATTAATCAATCTATTATTTCTTTCTACTTTTTGTATCTGCAGTATTCATTAGAGCATCGTTTAAAACAAATAATGCTTACTTCTTATATTTTTCCTAACATATGCATGATGATTTTAACGCACTATTGGCCTGCACGAAAACAGACAAAAGCAAACAAATGCTGGCATTGCTTCACTAAAATAAAAGTCACTTTCTTGAGCGCACGACTCTTAAATCCTCCAACCCTCTCTCTTTTCTTATTTTCTACCTTCCTTCCCGTGTCTCTTATCTTTAAACTATTTAACATAGTCTAATAATGTTTAATATAGTCTCTCACACTCAATTCGATTTCATGATACCTACGGGTTATCAAACCTTGTCTTTCGTGTCAGCTAACGGACTTCGAATAATACACGATCCACTCTCCTCATCTTCAACTCACTGCTTTCCGAGTTTGCCAGCACACTGAAACATTGTTTGATTCGTCTTTTAGGAAATGTAATATTGAAATATTAAAAATTTACATTCCAATTATAGAAAACATATGTCTTTACATTTTGGGAGGGAGGGGTATGAAACTGATGACTTCCAATAGCTAAAGAAGAGTTGATCTTTTTATTTGATACCCATAATTACAATTTTATGGAGTGGAAGTTACATTTTAATGTGCAGACAGCTTTGGCAACTTGTTCTCGCCTTTATTCCTTCCCTTTACCCCTTCTATTTGTAAATCATTACTTGATCATGGGATATACTCCAAATAAAATAAATGAACCCCAGATTATACTTTTTTTTCTCGGAATATCTCGCTTCGCAAGTCCTTTGAATACCTCACCACGGGCTCTCCCACTAGTCTTTTGATATTCTCCTTCCCTCTTCACTTTCAGCTCGAAGCCTTCAGCGGGTGCGCACCGTCGAATAAGGCAAATTCGGCCCGCTCGCCGTCCAAAGAGTGTCTTTAAGAGGCCCATCGTAGCAACTGACGACATATAAAAGACAACATCCCATTGGCTTAGGAACGTCACGTGACATCAGTGAAAGGATTGACGCCTAAGAGCTGCCAATTTGACCTCAATGATTGCCGGTCTTTCTTCTAATACCTCATTACTGCTGGCTAACATGCATGATTGTGATGGACTGTCTATTCTTTAACCCTCTCCCCGACCCCTCATGGCCCACATTTCCTTCTGCTACCCCCTCCGAATAGGCACGCTGTGACAAACAAACAGAAAAACAAGCAACGATCCCACTTATCAAATTGGCAACAATGACTCAAAAAAGCGAATTCACCTTCTTTGCTTATACCACTTCCTATATTTTCTCCCTCTGATATAATCATTTTGGCTCCGTGGCAGCGTGAAGAAAAAGGAATATGTCCGACCAGCCATGTCGACCAAGAGTTCCTTCGTGAGCGTCCTCGAGACTGGCGACGGTGACGGTGACGACGGTGACCAGACATTGGCCGTCAAGGACGAGGTGTACCACAACCGAGCAGCGAGGATGGAGTCGGCGGCCGTCAGGATATCCAGGACATCGAATCTCTTCAAGATGTCGAGGAGATCGTGGTTGATGACGACCCGGAAGCAGTTGAGAAGGAAACTGCAGGTGCAGACATCTGAAGGAAAACTCTTCGCTCACTGACCCTGAGGGACCAGTCGACAAGAATAGAGGTTCAGATTTGCACCTTCCCTACAGAAACGATACAACGGCAGCATCCCAGACTCACTTAAACTACCAAACCTACTCCAAACCGACTCCAAACCGACTGATTCTTGGGCATTTTGGAGTAATATGATCCTAAGTTCGGTCTGTCGTCGGTCTGGTGTCGGTCTGGTGTCGGTCTGGTGTCTGTCTGGTGTCGATCGTGTCGGTGTGACTGAGGTATCGGGTGCAAAACACCACAGGGTAGGGTGTAACTCTTACATGAACACCCTGCATCCTGAAAGGTGCTCATTTGCACCTTTTGAGGTTCAGATGTGCCTCCTATTCTGAGGGTGCTGCTACTGTACCAGTTGGGGTGCATATGAGAAACTTTATTTCTTCGAGTGAGACTAAATTATGAACTAAACTACGGCAGCGTGTGATTTCAGAATTCCCATAACTATAATAATTCGTGATAGAGCATTAACTTATCGCACACGCGCTTTCAATCAAACGTATAGGATCGACACTATAAAATGAATGATTACTCAAATCTACAAAATTTCAAAAAATACATATAATATTTTAATAACTTCTGTGTTCTCTTCTGGTGTCATCATGGTCATAGCGGAGAGGAGGTTTGTCACTTTATCAGCTTCCCAAAATCGGTGTTATGCTGTCTGAAAAGCAAATTGGTTGAAGATGAGATCTGAAGACATTATTTTGTAAAAAATAAACATTTTTCTGTTGATTTGTCGTCAGTTAATCAAAGTTAATCAAAGTTTATGTATTAATTTATTTTATAGCGATTCATGACAACACGCATTTGGATTCAAAGGGCGTATTTCTTTCCATGATGATAGATTTTATTATACTCAAACGTTTATAATATATGTCCTGCGTTTTGCGAAAGATTACAATATTCAAAATGTTGTTCTTGTTGTTCATGATGTCTCAATTTGTACGGAGTATAGTATTTTATGAGGTGGTTGATATTTTTGTAGCGGATGCGAAATTTGTATAGGTGCTCGGGATGAATAGAAATAAACAAGATTTATACAATGCAAGTAATACATTATACAATAATGTTTTTAATGACTATTTAATAAGACAGATATCGGAAATAATTCTAATAGTCTTGAGAAGGTGAAGGTTTTTTGTTGGCATCAATTGACATTGAAGCATGCAGGGAATGTGATTTTATCTAGAGTTTCTATATAATTCACATACGGTGTTTTTGTGAATATGAATAATATCTCTCTTTGTATTTTCACCCTTAAAACTACCATACTCTATGAAAATGGATTGTTACGTAACAGTATCTATTTGAGGAGCTTGGTGTTTACTTACGGTGAAGGTCATGTACATTATTTGTATTCCTAATATGCAATTGTCTTTCACTTTTCCAACGTACTTAAGAATATCTTATTGAAATATTCCACGTACACGTTTATTTATCACCGCCGTTTCATTCATATCGAGTCTAAATAAATGTATATTTACATGACTATAGACGACGTAGCAGATTGTGCAAAATGCCAAAAGCTTGCCTTCTTCGTTTTAAATATTCATTTATGGTGAAATAGAGGGTGAATAATTATAACAATAATATATAATAAAACTTTTGTATGACTATTTCAATACTTGCGATACAAGAACACTATATTATATTTCGAAAATGTTTATTTATGTTTTATTTTTATTTTGTCATCATGGTGCTATTGTTCTCTATATTTCCATTATCAAATTATCACGAATATTGTCTATCAATAGACCTCTATGTTCACATTATCACTCATGTTATTTATATAATAATATATTTCCCTTGCTTTTACGAGGCATGTGTTTTCTATGCAAGTTATAAACAGGGTCATACACTGGAATAACGGTAATGTTTATATTTTAACTTTGTCTAAAATGAAAACATGGCATTACGAAAATACTTGCTAATTTCGAAGTTATCAATCAAATTCTGAAAAAGGAATGAATGTCAAGAAATTGTATTTTGAGAGAGGATAATTATTTCATTACCTGGAGCTGGTCTTAATCACTAAATTTGCTGTTATATCTCTGTTTGTTTTTATTCACTTTTGAAATATGGAAGATGAACATTCTGTAACAATGTCGGATAAATAACCGGTGCACGTGTGTATTCAAATTCTGGGCATTATACGATTTTTCGTTCGCTTTTGATAATCAAAAGTTGGACCGAAGTTTTCGGGACATAAGCCTGCGTTGATCTATACAAAGGTGACTGAAATTATTTATTATGTGACACCCTACGAAAAGTCCCTAAATTTGAAAACATTATTAACAGTAATACTTCAAATTATTGTCATGTGCTAACACAATAATGTACCATTCAACCGATATGGTGATGATATTATTCATGAAATGCACAAGGACTTTGCAAGGTATGGTTATATCTAAGATATAATTATATTTATTTACCCATGCATAGAGATATTTCCATATTTCTCTTTTATTCTATAATTTTTCTATACTCTTCCGCTACGAAACGTATCACAACATGCCAAATAAACGAAGCCCTTATTAAGGGCTGAAGGACAATTTAGAAAGTGCATTCACGGACAGATATGTTTGTAGGAAAATTGTTGGAAAATTGATTTATATATTTGTTTTCTCTTATAAATTTAAATATGTAAATAATTGTAAATATTTATTGCTCACATACCGTGAGTATATGGAGTATATACGCAAGTGCTTTCAGCGTTTAAAGAAAGAAAATTAGTGTTCCTTCTGACATTTTGACCGAATATTTACATTCGTCTTCCAGTGATTGCAAATATTTCGCTATTTTGTTAATGTGAATAAAGGAGAAGTTTTATATACAACCTCAGACAGTGATACCGATAGATTTATATGTGATTACAAATCTTCCTAGAACATACATAATATAAATACGAGTTTATTAAGTTCGATACGATGTTTCCTTATATCAATCAAGATCATGCTACGTACTTATTTCTCTTATAATTATTTCGCATGACGATACATTTTGCACTATTGTCTACTTTATTACATAAAATGTTTGTATAAAAACATGATGAAGTTGATTGTCCCTGTCTTTTTTGTCGTTTCGTGTAGATTGTTAGATGTGTTTAAAGTTAATACAAAGTTTTGGGAAATACTGAAAATTGGCTGGATAGTGATTCTTCACAATTTTGATATATTTGGATGCTCCTGTTGATGTATTATAAGCACTAGAAAATTTAGCCCCTAAAACACTTCTGCTTTCGAGAGAAATGGAATATAAAAATTTACCGGTGCTCCCGGTAAATTTTGATGAATTTCAAATAGCGCCTACGGCCATACAATGGTAGCTGCGACCATGAAAATTCCAGAATATTATACATAATTTCCAGAAGGGAATAGCCAATCGACCTATTTTATTCAGGAAACATTGTTTTATAGCTTAATTAATATCTTGGTCTTAAGAGGGAGCTATACCACATAAAAAGTTTATTATTTACAATTTCATAACTTTAGACTCGATTTCAACCGCGACAACGATCACTGATTATTGTAGGATCGCATATGCTTCCAAAATTTTAATTTGAACCAAATTCATTACCCCATACCAAAACTTTGTATTACCTTTAAGTTCGGGTAAGTGTAAAAGACAGACACACAGACAGACAGACCGACAGAGAGGGAGAGAGAGAGAGAGAGAGAGAGAGAGAGAGAGAGAAGAAAAGAAAGAGAGAAAAAGGGAGAAGAGGGGAGGGTAGTGAGAGTGATAGAGAGAGAGAGAGAGAGAGAAAGAGAGAGAGAGGGGGAGGGGGGGGGGGGTCAAAGTAAGAAACACCCGAGACCGTAATGGGATACGGTTTTAAGAAGATAATTATGGAACAAGGGACGACAACAAAAATGACCTCGAGAGAGTAGATGATATAGTATCATCGCTTGAAGTGTTATCATAGAAATATTTATTTCATAAATTAACAAATAAATATCAATAACTTACACCTCAACTAAAACATCAAACATATACCAGTTACCATTCTTCCAATCTATAACAGACAAACATGATTTAAAACAACTTTGATTAAGTAATTCACCAACCGTCATCATAATAAAAAGTTGATTTATTTATTCGTAATTTTGTTGCATCAAATTAGATTGTTTGATAAGATGATTATTTTAAAGGGATGTCTAAAGTGTCACATATCACCTGCGAATATTCCTCTCTGCTTAATAGTCACTCGATCTTTACTGGGCGACTTCACAACTACACCCCACCCCCTCCCCACATCCACTCCTCCTACAGTTAGATGGTGCGAATAACAATCCACATGGTAGATCATATCAATAATCAAGTCTCCATACGAATGCAAAATATTTACTTAAAGATTAATTTTGTGCAGGCATACCCATGCAAGAGCAATTTCTCTACGAACCTAATAATAACAAAAGGACATTTTTTGTCTTCACTTTAAACTTCCCTCCACGATCCCTTGTTCTCAGAGATATTTGAGAAAAAGTCATTAGTCAAACAATTATTGTTTAACTATTGATTTAAACAATTATTGTTAAATAAATAAATCCTGAAGCTTTAGTCATTTAATTCAACAATTTAATTATATCATAGTCTGAACGTCATTCGAGACAAGAAAAGCACACACAACTAGGCACAATTATCGGGAGTACCAAATTTACATAAATGTACTAAAGCTATCATAACGTACTTTGTATGAGAACACACGCATCGGTACTCATAAATACAAATAGTTTTATCATGCATTCTATAAGTATGAAAATTGCGTTTTTATGTTATATTTTTTGTTGGTAGAAAACAACTTCATCATCCGCCAGGGATGAGATGCTACAGATAAGAGTATAAAAGATTTATCAAGATAGTTACCAACCATTTGTTACCAACAATTCGGTGACAAACTATGGCAAAATAAAAGATGGTGAGATTTAAGCACACTCAATATATTGCACTCCTTCTTGCTCTGCCGTGCTTCCTATCACATCTTAGATATTTGGCCTTAAAATCATTTTGTACATTATAATCACCTCATATACATGTAGCATTGCAACGTACACATCATGTCTAGGCATTCAAATATTATTGTATTATTTGCTCCCCTTTTTAATTAAAAAAAAACTGTTATTCCCCTCTTTGCATGAGATCGCACTCTCTTATTTGATGATTCCAATATACCAATTTAAAGATAATACCTAAATCTACGATTCCGGATTCATTTATCCCCCCCCCCTCCCCCTGGCCAGGGCCCCGTTTCATAAAACGTGTTATATACGCTACTGAAATCGTTGCATTTGATTGGCTGTGAGCAAGTTTGTCCAATAATTCTTGCATTTGTTATTGAAACCGAGCCCACGTATCCGCCACTGACTACTCGCGTTTTTCGACAAGTATAAGCATTGAAATACATGATTCCATACTAATTTGGTGTCAACTAGAAAATCTAAGCATATTGTCTGACTTAGCAAGCAATAATTGGCTCGAGGCTTTCGTTTATATTCGTATCTAATCTTCATTATGCAGAACTTTATCATGTTTATAATTCTTCTGTAAGTGCACGGTATTCCTTCTAAAACATTAAAACCTCATCATTTTAACGTTTGCAAAATCAATCCATTCGTCAATGAATATCAAATGTTATCAAGTATAACTTCGTTAAACTAAAAATTAGTTTATTACAAAAAATGCATGATTTATATTGACTTTCTAAGTTCTTTTAGACAAAAACGACATCCTCGTAAAAAAAAATGGAATGGCAGATTTTCGATCAGTCCACTTTGCACTTTGCTATGACCCCGTATCTTTGGCCGTACTGTTGTTATTATTGTTGTTAGTCCCTCCATTATGTGGTTTATGCCTGCTCATTTCTGAATGTAGTTTGTGTTTTATCGTGTCTTCGTTGAGTCTCTTGGTGCATTTGGATTTGTAGTTGAGTGCCTTGACGATGTCGTTGAGGCCGTCAGCGAGCACGAGCTGGTCGATGAACTTGTCGAGGCATTCGAGTCCCCTGAGGCCGACATTTAACTCAAAACCTGCACGAGGGATGGTAAATAAAACGAGGTAAAATGGATTTGTTTCATTATTTAGTGATAATAACTTGAAGAAGGGTTTGGAATGCGAAGTAGGCTCGTAGCCCATATAAGATGTAGAGATGCACACGACAAAAATAAATTTTAAATATCACACGACAGTAGTCACTGCAGGAAGATTTTTTGAGAATGGAAAAGCTTTAATTCAGATGTGTGACAACATTTGAAATTAGAAGTCTGGAAATGGTTATTCCCCCCAAATTCAAGAAACTTTCTCCACTCGATCATTAATTTTGATCACACACTCTCTCTCTCTCTCTCTCTCTCTCTCTCTCTCTCTCTCTCTCTCTCTCTCTCTCTCTTCTCTCTCTCTCTCTTGCACTTTCTTTATTATTTGACTGGTCTGAAATGGGAAAGCGCCCATCAAACACGTCAGATAAACCTCAATTTAATTATGTTAAAGTACACGTTTTTCCATGCTCTGGTCCTCGTCTTTTTCTACTTGTGGCATCTGATTTTGGATTAAGTATAAAGCCTTTGTCATATAATGCTTATTTCGTGTCCCCCCCCCCCCCCCAACAAAAATATAGAATTATGAAAGGAAACTACATCGGAAAACAAGGGACTGAAAGAAAAGAGTGATCTTGCAAAGTGAGAGACCGCTGTACCTAAACTGTAATTGAAGCTTCGAGTGGCATCGCCCTCTATCGACACAACCATGTTCTCCTCCTCGATGTAGACCAGCGGTTCTCTCCGGTATGACATCTTGACCTCGGTCAATCGGGTACTCGCCTTCAAGTTTAGTGCCTCGGTATCCGACATCTTCCGTTCTCCTTTGCTTTTGTACGTGTTGTAAGATTCTTGAAATATATTGCGCATCAGCTGGGGGTAGAAATCAAATAAAGGATTTAGATTTTTTGTTTGTAATGTTATAAACATGTGATAATAGTATCTCTCAACGATCACAGAGTATGGGCACGGAATTAAAACCTCGAACTTAAACAGGAATTCCCTTTTCAATTGATGGGAAGGGGCATCAGAAAATATTATTTACCCGAAGGAAATGAATAGATTGAAATTTGAGATTTAAAAAAAAAAAATCGTCATTAAACCTTTTTTTTTTCTAATTGGTATAAGGGTCGTCACACCAAATTGCTAAACAGAACAAAGTTGCACCATACTTTAAAATATGCCGACAAGGATGAAGATTCTTATACTTTAAAATGACAACATAAATTGTCACATTAAAGGCAAGTATATTCGTTAATATACACAGGGTCATCAATTTCTCTTTTAGTGCACAACGTTGTAATATACTTCGATCAAGACATTCCTTACCATCGGATCAACATTAAGCCGCAGCTGCCTCACAAGGTTCGAATCCCCCCTGTTGCACATCAGCATCATGTACCGGTTCCTGAAGGTACCGAAGATCTTCAAAAAGAACACGGCCCGACTGATGTCCGGTATCCGGAACTCGGCCCCGAACGCGGACAGGTCCATTTTAAGTCGGAACACGCGGTTCTCGGGCGTGGGGAGGTTGTGCTGGTCCTCGCGTTCCATGGACGACACGGCGCAGAAGGACTTGCATGTCTCCTGGATGAACTCGTCGCTGATGCCGAGGATGTTGGCCCCGGCACCGCGTAGGCCGTCGGCGACGATGACGAGGGTGAGGGCCCGAGGACAGCTGAGCTTGTTCACGTGGTTAGTTCCAAACTGCATGAAATAGAAAGTACAGAGATTTGTTAGTAAGAGTGGAATATTTTGAATGGTAGATGCGTTATGTCAGTGATACATCATAGAAAAGATAACAGGGGGTGGTTCCACAAAGACTAAGATCGACTTCAAGTTGGACTTAACTATGGCAGGCCATTCATGCCACTGGTTGCTCTCACCATTCTGATCTTTAGATAATATCTTTTCCTTCAACAATGAATCCAAAAATGTAAATTCTGTAGATTAGAGACCATGATTTGTATATCTCTTGATAGACCAATGCCATTAATGGCGAGAGCAAAAAGTGGCATGAATGGCCTGCCATAGTTAAGTCCAACTTAAAGGCGATCTCATTCTATGTGAAACACTCCCCTGGTCTAAGGAGCTATACTTATTGGCCTAACACAAATACGAAATAATGTTGTAAGCCTTTGAAAAGAAATGTAGCAGAAAGGATGCAATGAGAAGAAGACACAACCATCCCCAATTCTCACTCCCACTCTGTCTCTATCTCTTTAATTCCATCCACACCGTAAGATCATTTTTAATCCTCTCGATGCCAATAATTATGTTTGAAACAGAAGGTCGAAAACACAATGCCTTAGGTATTCTTCACGCGTAGCCATGGTAGCCATGGAAGCCACGTAGGCATAATAATCATTACCCCACCACCCCCCCCCCCCGAAAAAAAAATCATTATATATATATTTTTTCTTCTTTTTGCTTGCTTTCAAGACGGACGAATTTGATCGATTGTCATGCAAATTTGTGGGAAGGTTAATCTGTTTGTCTCTAAACCATAGCATAGGTTATTGAAACAAGCACGTTCTTCATGAAATCGACTTGCGTCATCATTAATAAATAAATGTTAGCGTCTAGCTTAGGTGATACACATAGATTGCATAGTATATCTTTTTTTTTTATCAAGAAGTATATCGAAGGCATGATTACTGTCAATACGTTTATTATGATATTACGTAATTCATTTCTTCTTTCTTTTTCCTACGAGGTACCGACGCTCTTCCTTGCTTTTCTAGAAGAATTTTTTGAAGATTATTCGTTTTGAATACTTTTCATTAACTAATATTCTTTAATGATTATCACTTGCATTTTTTTAAAATAGATTGAAAAGCAAGATTGCCTTTTAGCAATGTAAATTTTCTATCTACTCTATCAAATAATATGGGAAAGATAGAATGTCCTCGGTCACCAGTCACTGGTATTTTTCATTCATTTACTTAATTATTTCGATACCTTTTTACTCCTTCCTGGAAATTAAATAAAATCCAACTAGATACATTAGGTTGAGGTTTGAATACACGGGAATTATATTAGACGTCTTTCCTTATAATTATAATACAATTCATCCTTCAGGTTATAACTGAGGATTTAGAATGTTCGCAACACCCTTTAAGAATATCATACACGAGGAGAATTGCAGACGGTTATAGGAAAAGGTAGGGTACGTTGCAGTGTGTTGTTTATGCAGGCTACAACACAATTCTTTCTGCACTAAAAAAACAAAAAACTTGCCAAATATAGACGCTGAACTGATTAACGTTCCCTTACCTCATATTCCTCCTACTCGAGAAATAGGTAATTACCATTTTATTTATGAAATAGTCTCGTGTTAGCCATTAAAACACCCACTCTTTCTATGTTATTAACAAAATAAGTCAGCCTCTATGTTTATATTATTTTGACGATTATATATTTTGCTATAAAAGGGTCGATTTTGCCATTATCAACCCCAACCTCCATAGCTGAAGATGAATTTATCCATCGTCTCTTGTTATGGTATATGACCAAAACAAAGCGTTAATGGCACAGATCTTTAGGAAACGGAAGACTTTATGTTTATAACCACAGAGAAAAAAGCACAAACTGCGGGAATTGTGGATGAAATGCAAGGTTCGATAAACATGCTGTTTGTTTATTGTTCCCCCGAGTTCAGCTTGCGTCGTAGCTCACAGGATGCATGCCTGAAGTAGAAGTTGTTATCATCTGTGACTTTATCGCAACCGCTGCGTGACATTCAACATCGTTATGCATGGATGTATGATCAAAAGACTTCAAAAGACAGCAGCTTAAACATTGAGTTCATTTGGATGTGGAGCACTGGAATATGTTGTAGACCTTTACATCCATCGAACCCCCCCCCCCCCTGCCCTGAAATTCAGTTGCATAACAAGTGGGGTAGCTATGGGATGCGGTACTGGGATACATGCCCTCCTCCTCCCCAAAATCAAATGGCGGAAAGAAGAAGAAAAATGAACAAAAGCACAACAGACGTAAAATAAAGAAAAGGAGAAGGAAAATGTGACGTGAATAGAACATTATATGACCAACTTCCACACCTTCCCCTGAACATATTCCTCCAATTTCCCGTATTTTTGTTTGACGGTTGATTGCAGTTGATGTAATGATGTTTGGAATTCTACATACAAATCCTCCCGAAATGTTATGGACGGCAAGAAAAACAACAACAATAATAGAATAAACAAATGTTTGTTTTTTAATCATATGAAAATAACCATGGTTATTAGAAGCTCGTCTGCCAAAAATCACATACACTTACAAAAACAACATGAAGAAAAATATGCATTTTCTTTGATATCCTAATACTTCAGTCACATCAAAGAGGCTGACTATAGACCGAACAAAACATAAAAAATAAAAAAGAAGTATTATTCCAGAAATATTTCAAAACATCGTTTGCGAAATTCAACTGCTTCCATTTTATCATCGCATTCAAATATGGCACCTCTAAAGGGCCTCTAAATCCAGGGTGGCCGGAAAGAGAGAAGGGGGGGGGAAGTCATTTTTGTTCTTCAATACGAGTCCAGTCATAGCTTTTTCACCCCTTTTATGCCTCTAGGAGAAATACGTAAATGATACATCGGGGAATCTACCCAACATATTGCTCTTTGAATTTTAGAAACTGCCTCGAACATTGGCATCATTTCTATGAACCATTCTCCACAGAGTTCAAAGCTAAGTGTCCTTCGAGACTTTGAGTGGCAGAATCGGATAAACAAGTTTACATTGGAATGGCTTGCACCGTCGCTTGAGAGATAATTTTTGTAATGCGGATTTAGCTGGCGGTTAAACTTTCATCCCGAGGGGGAACGGGGGAGAAGAAAAGTTCCTTTACGCAATGCGATGAACTAGACGCGTGTAGACATCAATTCACCATGCGCAATGCAGCATGTCTTGATGTTTGTGATTGTGATAGCGTGAAAACAAGTGGATGGGACTGAATGGATGAAGGTGAAGATAATGGATGTGCAGGTGATTGATCAAGGCCATAAATATTTTAAAAAATACGCACATCCGCTCACGCTGTAGAGAGCTATAGGTTTTAAAGTAGAGCATTCGAACTTATTTACATCAATGTGCGGTCTTGAAAATCAACTTCACGTGTGAAACATGAATATCAATTTATCATGGATATGGCGGTTCGAAATATGCATTAAAAAGTTCCTGTGTCTAATGGGGAAAAACAAGCTTTAAAAACCCCAACAATTTGATGATTACATTTTACGTCAAATTCCTATGTTTCACATAGCCGAATATCACACCATTTACGTCGGGTTGGAAAGAAACAGGTTGTTAAAATTTAACACATTTGTCCCTGCATGCTTCTTGTTCACCTCATTATTTTGTTTACACCTTGACAGTGAATGTAATAAACATACAAACACACACACAAAAAAAAAACTCTTTATTTTGGGAACTAACCAAAAAAACGTTCAAAAACGGTTGATAAACGTTATGGATAACCAAAGTGCTGTTCGTCTAAAGTAGATGTTAAGGTACTGAAGAAGACCAAGTACACACTTTATTCTTAATGGTTACGAGTATTTCTGATGATTTTCGAATGTGTTTAAAAAATCTTAATTGATCACCATTAGTTACTCAATAGAATACACTAACTTGTTTTCTTTTCCGATCTGTGTGGGTGTAATACGTGTATGATATCAAATTGTCGTCATCGCTAAACCGCCCTATATACGAATGCTTGGTGAAAAGGCTATTTATAATAGTTGATGTATCACAGTGCAGACACAGAGTGCGGTAAATAGTTCACAGATTCTTCAATCTATTCAAAGTCGCTATTCGTTCCATCGAGTCAATACAGTTTTGAGGAAGCCGATCGAGGAGGATGAAATATAAAGATGACTGATCTGATCATTCATCTTCATGAGACGTCTTATGAATAGGTTGGGACAGAACAAGTTATTGCAGCGGCGTATCCAAATATTTATAAAAGGAGGGATCGAGTGTAAACTGACAGCCCAGAACATGTGACGTTCACTTAGTGCAAGGTGCATCAATTTATTATTCTAGGGTTTTAGGGGGAGGTATGCCGGTTCCACCTGATGTTGAATACGCTTCTATCGCTTATAAATGTTTTGCAGCATCGTCATGAACAACAGAGCTTCGCCAATACGATACTTAAAGGTAAAGACCAGTATTGGCAACGCCCCAATTTCAAAAAATGAAATGGCAGCTCTCATTACCAATCATGTGAAAGAATATGTTTTGAATAATACATGATGATAAAAAATTTGCCGGGAAACCGCCTACTAATTCATATATTTGGTAAATTTATTTCTCTCATGGTCTGGTGAGAGAGATAGGGTAGTCCCATATACATCTTTCTGTGTATAGTGCTTGTAACTTTACGAAGAATGAGCCAAATTTCTTATCATTTTGATGATTCCAGAACCTTGCAGATGCTAGATGCTAGATGATCGACCTTTTCTGATCGATTCCACAACGTTTCTTTCACAATGCAATCGCATGACCATTACTGGTCTTTACCTTTAACGAAATGCTTCACCGGCGACAGTCAATTTGCCGGAAAAGAAGGTCAAAGAATCTCTTCGAGAAACTGTAGTCTTTCGAACGTGTACATGTTGTTCCAGTCATTTCATTTCAAAGAATCTGCTTAATTTTTTGCATTACACACTATTTTCATGGTTATTAACCACGGT